CTCTGCTTCTAAGAATCTGTTACAGAGCTCCAGTGGATGCCAACTACAAAGGCAAGGGTTTGGAAACATGGTGGTACTAATCATGATCAATGTTTTTTTGCAATTTGGTCAGGTTTTTGCACCTTATCCAGGCTTGCTTCTTTCTTGCAACTCTGGCTACGTAACAATAAAAAGTTTCACCAGTGTGTGAAATCCAAAATTCTCATCCTCCTACCTGTAAGCATCTTGTACAACAGCTGTACCCAAATGAACAAGAACATTACTACAGTTGTAAAGGGTGTGTGCTGCAAAACCTCCTTTGATCCCTGACAAATTCTTCCAGGTAAGTCCCCAATGCAGTTGGGAATTCAACACAACAAAGAGTTCCCCTAAAGAACTCTTCACACAAGACTGTGCAGGTCCAAACACAAAACAACTACTAGAGCCAAACTGAATGTCTTAGAAGACACTTTTAAAACACAAAGTTTGGAGTCGATAGCCCCTTGGATATGCTTCAACCAGAGTTCGAATCCAGGCTTGTGGTCCTTTCCATTCCCGCACCTCTTTCTCTCTCCCACATCACTTCCTATCCACTCTCTGACTGTTCTGTCCAAAAACGGCCAAAAATGAATATTTAAAACACAAAGGGTTTCCCTATCTACTACTTGGAGGAGTAGTGTCCTGTCCCTTGAAAAAACTGGTTCTACTTGCATTATTCTTATTTGTAGGTTGCTTTGGATAAACAAGTCTAAACAAATGGATCCATTCATCTAACCAAGTTGCCTAGAAAATATAGAGAACATATCTCTAGAGAAGGTAGAAACTTCCATGTAAGTCCCATCTGATCTCACAACTCAACTTCAGAAGGATCTCAGGAGTAGGTTAAACAAGTCGACTCACCTGTGCGATCTCATACAGCAGCTTGTAGTGCTCCTCTCTTTTCTGCAGCGTGCACAGGTTACAGCCCATCTCGCCGTCTCGGGTCCCCCAACAGTTCTCTGGCAGTAGTGCACACACACAGGCACACCGGGGATTTCCCTCAAACGATGAGTAACGTCTCTCATCAGTAGGTACCTCTTTCCCGGTCTTCTTTGTGTAAAAATCACGCACTGACCAGCCTGCCTGATGTTGCAGAATTCCTCGTGAATGACTGTCTGTGTGTGTGCATCTTACCCCCTCAATCTCCCTGTGTCCCTCTCTCATCCACACTAGCTAGCAGTCATCCAAGCACGCTGTACTAAACCCCTCTTCATAGAGACACACCCCCTTCTTTCACTTGCCCACCTCTCCCTCTCTCTAGCTCTCTCTCGGTTCCTCCCTCTCTCTCTATCTAAAGCTCAGTGCACATGACTACACCTACTCTAGCTCATGAATAATAATGACTATCTGTTAATTATTCATAAAAGATGATCCGTAGAAGGTGCTGTGAATGTGTTAACTGGGTATTTATCTCAAGGCATTAAATAAGGTGGTAACAACCACCAGCTGAACAACTAAAAATACATCTCACGTTTAGATAACACAAATTTATTTATTATTTGATTGATTTATGTTGTTCATTTCACAGTCTTTAGTGATACTGTATTTCATGAATAGAAATTGGCCTTGTGAAAGGAGAATAAATGGTCTGTTTTTAATATTTTCAGTGAAGTATGAATAAATGTTGTCAAAAGGGATTTCAACCATTTTGTGAACACTGTATCCAATCCAGACATGATGCAATACACCAATAAGAAATAAAAGTAAGTCTAGGATAAGAAACAGGATAATTTTGTCAGTGCCAATTTCTATGCCTGCTGTGTGGGTCATCGATGCCCACTGTGAAATCTCTTTGATCCAAAACCTCACCACTTATTACTGTACATTAGCTCAAATTGGATCAGAAAATCATGTATCCCAAGGAAAAGTTTGTCATAAGCAATAAAAAGGAAGCTAGACAGATTGCACCGATTTGCTCCTCCACCCTGCTATTTATATTGGCACTGACGTTACAATATCAGTTATCATTAACCAATATTGCCACATATTCTGGACAGGGGAAGAAATGTAATAATCAACTATAGAAAAACCCATAATGGTTGACGACTATTCTAAATACTGTAGGGGGACGTGCACAACTCATACTTTATGGTTGTTACGGCCCGCTGTATTTACCCTCATATGTCAGTGGTTGATAAATTAGATTTATGTTGGCGGCTTATTGAAAGACAATGGTCCAGTAAATATGCAAAAGAAACGGGAAGAGACACCAACCACTATTGATTGTCCTCAAATTGGTTTCCAGACTCACAGTGAGAATAAAAGAGAGAGACGTGTGGTGATAACAGTATACCATAGAGGCAGTTGTCCACTGGCTACGAGACGGCTCTCTTGGGAAGCAATAATCCGATTTGTGGAGCTTTAATTTCACTCAGCAGGTTTGGAAAGGATCTGAGCCAAATTTGCCACAACAGGAACTTCTCTCTCCCAAACACAGCTCTCTATAGTCCTCCACAACATGTGCCTGGAGATACTAAATGCTGGAAGGCACATTCTAACTAAATTTCTCGCTTAAACAGCATATAATTAGAGACGGTTGTGCAAGACATTAAGAAACCAAGGTTTTTCAAAAAAAAAATCAATAATAAAAAATTAACATTATTAATTATTATTAAAAACTACTACTAATAATTGTAATAACAATAATTTATTTTATGTTATTTATTTATTTATATAAATTATAATGCAAACGGTATAAGCTATGAACCAAACCAAACCATTAATCAATACTTAACAGAACCATTAAGTATCAAAGGGACTCTTCTCATTTAATCCCATTCCATTTCATTCAATGCCATTCCATGCTATTCTATCCTTTTCTATTCTACTTCAAAGTTCTAATCCATATTCACTAAGGAGGGAAAGGTCACCTGTAGGGATCAGAAGGCACTGTAGCAGATAACATCAGCTGCTGACATCACGGGTCACTGAAGGTGACCCCTAAAAGTGACATCATCAGGAATAAAAGTGGCTAGAGATGCTACAAAAAAGTGACCTCAAGTATCCATTGGGCATCCTGGAGCCCTGAAACTGCTTAATAGCAATGCCTGTCAATTGTTTAAAATTAGCATTCATACTTCCACTCTCGATTTATCTGCACTTAAGACAGCAGGGGTGCAGGATCTTTCATGTACCGTTCAGGCACCCTGAGAATTGCACCTCTATTCTTTTACTAGCAAGGGCAGGGAAAGATGTGAAATGTCCTTCAGTGCCATTCACACAGTTAAGATGAGCCATCAGTTTCAACATATAAAATCCAGCAGACATCACCATCTGGGCCTCTGATTCCTGATGCATGATAAAACTTGTTCTTAAAAGTCCCATATGTTAAAATGATAAATAAATGAAGTTAATTATGGTTTAAAGCTATTAATCATGTCACAGATATCTCCTGGATGGTCTTTACCTATTGTTAGAGAAACTTATGATGACAATAATGCATTACGTAATTGATATATATTATTTAAGGGCTATTTGAGACACTCACATGTTGACGTATGTGAACAACTTTAGATGACTGTTCACACCGTACACGTACACCAAAACACACACTAAAATGATGGGCAGGTGGTGTTTGATGGAGATATCAGAATGACTGAGGGCTAATGTACCGTGTATCTCAATGCCCAAAAAACATCAATTATTTAAACCTATGAATCATTAATCAGAGCAAAAACACCAGTATTGCTGTTGTTGGAGCCCAGGTTGAGGCATAGAGACGTGAAAACACTCCTAATGGAGACACTTCAGAGACAGACGATGTTCAAAATGCATGAATACTTCAGGCAGAGTTTTGGATAAATAAAATCACAGAACTCAAAGATAATCATGCAATATAAACTTATGAAATATTAATACAATGGGCTGCTAAAGTCTCACACTACTACACTGAAAAGATGGGATTCAAGATCTAATTTAAACCATGGAATCAAACAAAGTTTAGGCTTTTTACATAAACGCATTGTAAAAATGTAATATATATATATATATATATATAAAATAAAACATTTACATAATTATATTTATTTTTAGATTTTTTTTAATTATTTGTCTTTTTTATTATTTAAATTCAGTGATTTCAGTTATAGCATTCACTTGCTGATTGACACAAAGCCCAAAATTCATGCATGTGATTAGCTCCTCCATTGCTATAACGAACTCTGAGGTCAAGTCAATTTTCTACCTCACAATAAAAAAAGAGACTATGAATAGGGTCAATGCCCTAAAAATTTTTGTTAATTCCGTTTATACAAAAAGGCATAGATAAGTACTTGTGGTGCATTGGGCTTTTGAACAGAGGTTTGAGAATTTAAAATTGCAAGGTCAACCTGAGTCTTGTAATCCAGCAACACTTGGACCAACTGACCTACACGGAAACGTCAAGCTAGCCAACTCTGACTTCAGATGAGTCCTATGGTCTCACTTTACGCTGTGGTTAGAATGACCTCCACAGACCGTCCAACCCACACACACATTCAGACATAACCTACTCTCACTGACTGCCCCAGTAGTGGCCCTAGGGCAAGATAACCCACCAACACAAACACACTCATGCTGCTGGAGACCTATTCCATCTCTGATGTTTTAACTCAATAGACCACTTCTCATAAAACGCATTATGGGGCTTCCCTGGTGCCCCCTCCGGCTTCCACTCTCAGGTGGTCGAATTGGAAACAGCACTGGAGGGCCCCTTTACAGCCAAACAGCATCTGCGCCAAACGTGAGATGCCTTCCATTAAGAACTGAAATAAACTGCACGCCATGGCCGAGATAGCTACGGTTTTATTTCAACAGCAGGGCTATGGTAAACTAATGCCCTTCTGTGTCTGCTTCTATCTTTTTCTCTCTAGCCATCTCTTTAAACTTATCTCTGTCTCCCTCTCCTGATTAATTGATCGTCCGGTTGATGTCAGGTTGCTCGTGGCCAGCTGTCTGCTGTTGCTTCACGTTTGCCCTACATTTACTGTCTTAAATGAACCACTTCACACTTCCTTAGAGTGACTCTGTGCCTGAGTGAATCTCTCGAAAAATATGTTCAGGTCATACAGTATTTCACCCTAAAAGAAAAGAAAAAATAAGAACAAAATATACAAATTATTTTATTATTATTATTACAATTACTTTATATTATATTATTTAATACCTAAATATTTTTTAACAATTATATATTATTATTGTTATTATTATTATTACAAATGATAAAAATTCATAACGAATATTAGGCCTATTTTTTTTTTGTGCTATTTTAAAGATTTTTTGCACTGTGTTATTATTAAATTAACTGCATATATGTTCTCAATTAAGTCTTTTTACTGTAACTCATATGAATATTTTACTTGTAAATTTTTGTCATTCACATTTCTTAATAATTTGGGATTACAACTGGGGCAGGAATCACTTTTGTATTTGTATGTGTGTACTTGCCTATTGTTATTATTATTATTCATTCATTTATTTTTTTCTGTATATTAGAAAATGTATATAAAATTACTATTAATATCAAAAATGAATATTAGGGATAGGGTTTATCTATAGTAATTTTAAGTTTTATAAATATAAGTACCTTAAATATAAATTCTATGGTCTTTAATTCTAAAAAAAAGTCTATGGTATATCTTCATATAGCAAACATATGTCTGCACCAGCTGTTCCTCCATAATGCCAGAGCTTATGTTGATTACTGTTGTGCATGATAGATCAAATGATGGACTGAAGCTACCTCTCAAGTAAACAAACATGACAGTGTTTCTGTCTCTTTCCTCATCGTCCTCTCTCTTTTTCTTGGGCCTGTGTGTTCAGCACAGTGAATCAGATCTTTATCAGAGGTGTGGTTAAAAGCCAACACACTCTGCATTTAAGCAACCTAATCTAAGCTTACCCAACAGAGAGAGCTGGAGGCTCGGGGTCAGATTTGTCACACTCCAGCAGGCCCCTCTCTGGGTTTAAAAAAACAAATTCAGAGATTCACATGCACTTCTGTCTGGTTAGGTGCTTCCAGCTGGTCGTGATTTCCTCTTCTTCCTCGGTGGCCAGGCGGTGCTCCACGTCTGTTCCTGTGATAAGGCGCCACTTCCATTGTCTCTTCCTTCCTCTCTGGACACTGTTTTATCCACAACTCTGCCGATAAAAATGCTAAAAAACATAAGCTTCCCCTAAAAGCTCAACTTTATCACATTGAGGATTTACATACATAAGAGGCCTTTATGTTGAAGTTAAGCAGAAGGCAACAATATGCACAGTCAACAGGGGCTTGAAGTGGCGTCTCTCCTGAGAGCAAGTAAAACAGCAGGAGGTACATTAAGCTGGATGTGGTGGATTTTAAGGGCTACAGAAGCTGTAGTGCTCACTAAATTCATTTGAAACTCTCTCTGGGACGGGCCAGCTAGCAGGGGTCTAATCAATACTCTACATAACAGTCCTGATAGGGATAGGAACAATGGCTTTGGATCCTGTGGATCTGGCTAAAACAGATCTATAGGACCAATCCAAACAAATCCAAACACAGAGACACAACTCCATACTACCAGGCGGCCCATTGCTGCAGTAAATAGGCCAATAAAACTTTTACTAGTCTTGTTCCCCAGGGCGATGTAGCATCTTAAAGATACAATGACCTATCTGACACATTTGTGATCCAATTTTACCGCCATCATGGACCACAGTAATGGCTGAGGAGCATGTAACATGGTTGTGGTGAGCACTCCTCCATATAATATGGTCAATACAAAGCTGGATTTGAGCCTTCACGCAACCATTTGGTTGTACACTTTTTACCTCATTAATCTAATAAAATATGTTGAAGTGCATCCCATTAGCACTAAAGCTTCCTATTGAAGACATTATTCAGAATTAAAATAACTGTTGTGGAAAATCCACCATGATCAAAAATATTAGAAGAGCACAAAATAATCTACATACAGTGGGTACGGAAAGTATTCAGACCCCCTTCAATTTTTCACTCTTTGTTATATTGCAGCCATTTGCTAAAATCATTTAAGTTAATTTTTTTTCCTCATTAATGTACACACAGAAAAATTGAAGGGGGTCTGAATACTTTCCGTACCCACTGTATAGTGCAGGTGAATGAAAAACTAGACCAGCACATGCAAACGTTTCATATGCTGAAATATTTTCAATTCACTTGCACTGTGCACTTTTTTTGCACTATAAAGTTCATATAATAAAATATATTTTTGCTAGACCGTCTCTGGATTAAATTTAGTGTGCGGCCAGCAATCTGTGTTTGCACTGATTTTTAATTTCTTTATTTTTGATTTCTTTCTTTCTTTATTTTTATTTATTTTGGTGCTACACACCTGAAGCGATTTGATTTTTACTCATTTGAAGCGCAACAATCTACTCTAAACCATAAGAACACAAAAATTGAAATTATTCACATGAAAAAAACTGCATCATAATAACTCTAAAGATCCCTACTGAAGACAAAAGATTATTCTGAATTTAAACAGGTATCGTAAAACTGTCTGTGATTAAAAGTATATATAAAATATATTACATATACATAAAATTGTATACATTTATTACACACTAATTTTATAATGTATTATATATTTTATTTTATAAAAACAAAATTAATTATATTATAGGATGAATATATTGATAGTGGGATTCAAATCTACATATACTGCATATATATATATATATATATACACACACATACATATAAAGGAACTGGCCACACAGCTGTGACATTGAATGAAACTTGACCCGAGGTCAGGAAGACGTTTGAGCTCATGGCCCTCTTCAATATGCTAATAGTATAGTGTGGTATACTATCAGCTTACAGGCCCATATCCACAGCCTCGCTGAATGCACACACACACACACACACACACACTTAACCTCAGGGAAAGCACACAAAATCATTCAATAAAACCAGACAGTTCTGCAGAGAAAGACCCTATTGAAATGTTTTTATGCCGCAAACAATGGCAGCTAAAGGAAAGAGCCGAGCAGCAAAAGCGAATGTGGCCTTGAGGAATTATTTCTCATTTACAGATAACCACATAAAAGAACCAAACTCAAAATCTCAAAAGAGTTTGAAAAATAAAATAAACAATCATAGTAAAAATGCAGGATTGGAAAAAGAAGTGCTCAACATTTTAAACCTACAGAAATATGCTAATGCTTAACTTTAAAAATTACAGCCTCCTCCTTCGGATATTAAATGTTACAACTCAATATATTTTGAGAATCTGCCATGTCTTCTCATCACTTTACAACAGAGTTTCACGGATACTGCGCTGCATGGGTAAAGTGCGACTCGTCACATTTTATTGGAAAAGCAACAAATGCTCTATAAAACAAAACAACTTTATTACCAGTCTGAGAGCCTTCAACCCGAACGAATGTGAAGTTTCACTAAGAACCTTGTAAAATAAACAGCAGCGGCAATCTTTAAAGAACACCTCATAAGCAGTGGCCTAACTAGCAACCCCATCTCTAGGGCTGAACATCGATTTCTGAGTAGGGCCGAGCAAAGACGCATGCATGGAAATTCACTTGATGGAGTGCTGGCTGTTATGATTTTTCTTTCTCTATCTTTCTTCAAAATTGTTCCCCCATCCTTGTTGTGGTTGTCATAGCAACCCTGCTGTTTGACGGAGTTGGTGACAGAGCACAAAGCATGAATGTGTTTATTTAAAACAGGCCTGACAGATGACATATGCCTATATGTGGCCATGTCTTCACACATCATGGATGGACGGAACGCTTGATGAACGGAGCAGCTTTTATCCTTCTGAAAGTACGTATAGAGGTTGTCTGATCCAGGGATAGCAGAATAAAGGCTGTAAGTGACAGTTATTTTATCTCTGAGGTGCCGATTGCTCCTCGATTTATTGTCATTGAGATAGATTTCATTGTGCACGTGCCATCAGCAACAGTCCACTTAATAAGAAGTGTTGTTATTGCGCATCTAATACGTCACAGACACAGAGGAATAGTTCACCTACAAAGGGAAATTTTATCATGTTGATCCAATAATGAATGAACCCAAATAACATTTGAAAATAAATAAATAA